TGATGTTATATTGGAGAAGGGTGCATGAAATGTTACAAAAAATATGTTTGATATGTTTTTGCTTAATATTATGCCTGATGTAAAAGATAAGAAAGTTAAGCACTTAATTATACATATAGTTACTGCAGCAAGAGTTCTCTATGCTAAGTACTGGAAGAATGCAATAAGAGAATCACAGCTCCAAATACAAAAGAAAAAACAAGCTGTGTGCAAACATTATACAGAATCAATGCTCAAAACACATGGACATTTTTTATAGTGCTGATGTCAAACCATATATAAATGACAATGATACAAAGAAGGAAAGGAGGTCCAAAAAGGTCCAGGTTGACGAAGTTTCCCGAAATACAAATCCGTTTCGACTGGCTTCATCTGAACAGGACCTCATGAAACAGTAGGATGTCTTCCAAGTATCATTCATCATAAAGTATGATAGCGAAGATCATATCACTTCATAAAACTCTCATCATGCTTTAGTGCTATATTCTACAGTTGCAGTGAAATATTCCAGAGACATTCAGAAAGGAGGGCAGAAGACATCAGAGATACCAACAGAAAATGAACTTTTGACAAAAAAAAAAATTGAAACAGCAGAAATGGATATATTGTCGAACCAAAGTGAACAAAAAGCGAGAGACGATTGGATACCTGGGTGGAAAGAAACCTTGAAGACCACGAACAATGAACATAACCCTTATAAACTGGGAGAAACCCTAACTTGAACTGTACAGAACTTGACTTTCTTCAGGAATCATAATAGAAGATTTTAGCGATCTGATGAAGCGTCACTAGCTTTAGTACAAGTATAAACGAAAGAGCTCTGGAAACAAAAAACTGAGACTGGACATTTGTAACAGCGAATCTATAAGCTGGATGGAACTTCCCTTTATGCCTCACCCCCATCCCCTCCCTGCCCTATTACGTGTTAAAACCCAACACAAATCCATGAGAAGAGGGGGGGGCGGGGGGAAGGCCGCATCCAGCCACATCTCCAGGGCGGCAGGCGGGCAAAGCCACCGTGGAGCCCACCGTGCCTGTGGTGGCCCCCCCCCCTGCGCCGCTCTGTATCTCCTCCTGATACGAAACACGACACATGTCACGGTCCCCGGCCAAAGTCCTTCCTGCGGCCCTTCCTGACACGCCCGCCCAGGGAAGGAACACGGGTCGCCACTCTGGGCGTGTCAGGAAGACTTCCGGGGCGAGAGGGAGGAAGCCCCTCTGTTTTGGCCCAGCCGCCTCCCTCCCGGAAGTGACGTCTACTCCCTCCTCCCCGCCCTTCCGGGAAGCGTCGCCGTGCGTGCGCGCGCGCGCGTGACCCCGGGGGGGGTGAGTCAGGGTGAGGGGGCGGACGAGGAGGCGTTTCCGGTTCCGGCGGCAGGAGCAGCAGCAGCAGCAGCTGGGGGTGGGAGGACGGCGGCGACGGAGAGCGGCTGAAGCCAGGCAGGGAGGC